TTTTTTTTTTTTTTTTTGAGGCAGAGTCTCACTATGTCACCCTAGGTAGAGTGCCATGGCGGCACAGCTCACAGCAACCTCAAACTCTTGAACTTAAGCGATTCTCTTGCCTCAGCCTCTCAAGGAGCTAGGACTACAGGCACCTGCCAGAATGCCCAGCTATTTTTGCTGTTGTTGTTGTTGTCATTGTTGTTTGGCAGGCCCTGGGCTGGGTTCAAACCCACCAGCTCTGGTGTATGTGGCCAGTGCCCTAGCATTCCAGCATTCTTAAAGCCTGTTCCCCAGTTTTGGTCATAAATCCCCAGGGGTAATGACTATGCTGACTTCTAAGAGCATAGATTAGATATGCCTGTATTTTTGCCTATAAAAACAAGAATATATAAGAATATGTACTGTTGTTTCTGGCTTACTTCCCTCAACAACATCTTTGTGTTGTTCATCAATATTGTGTGTAATTATAGATTATTCATCCCAATTGCTACATAGTATTCCATTGTATGACTATATTCAATTTATTTATCCACTATACAATTAATGTGGAGTTGGGTAGTTTCAAGGTTTTGCTACTTCAAATAACACTACTATGAATATTTTAATATATGCCTTTTTGTGAACATATTTTACACATTTATGTTGGGTATAGGTAGTCTACAAGTTATAAATAACTGACTTACATATAACTTGCCCTTACAAACAAGGCTATTACAGTAAGTCTCCGAGTTACAAACATCTGACTGACATATGACTTAAACTTATGAACAGGGGCTATTAGAGGTAATAAGTAAGTGTATATGTTCCAACTTACATACAAATTCAACTTCAGAACAAACCTACAGTGCCTGTCTTATTCATAACCCAGGGAACTGCCTGGACCTAGGAGTATAATTCCTGGGTCATACATGAGTCCTGCTTTAGTAGATACCCTTGATTGTCAGTACCGGATCATCTTTGTGTGGAGGTAGAGGTTTCCCACGTTGGAAGTTCCAGATGGGGGCTGGGTGAGACTCTCTCCATGGAGTCTGGGTTTGAGGTCTCCCCATGGAGGTGACAGCGGCAGCTGGGTGAGGCTATCTAGGCAGTAGTCATGGTATTTGGGCTGTGGGCATTTGCTCCAATCAGGTTCAGATGTAATGGCAGCTAGAGGCTGGGAAGTCCCCTGCAGAGTACTGGACCTCAGGTGGTTTGGGAGGCTCGGAGGCAATGGTGGAAACTCAAGGGTGAGGTCTTGGGGGTCCAAGTGCAAGGATGGAATCCCTGAGCAGTGTTGTGGACTCAGCAGGAGCTCTGGAGGCCTGGGCCCAGCAAGAGCCTCAGAGCCGGAACTGGGGATTACAGAGACAGAGCCGCGTGGGGAGGGCGGTGGAGGTGAGAGATGCTAGGCTCCCAGCCACTGCATGAGGGAACGTTCACTCTTCCCGCTGCATGCACGATGGGGGTGGTGCAAACATTACTGCTGCAAAGCCAAGCCCTGCGCAGACCTGGCCCTGAGCACTAGAGAGCTCAGGATGGCATCAGCAGCAGAACTCATGATCCTCAGCCACCAGATAGATCCCTGCTGCGTGTACTTTCCAGTGCAAAGTCTCTGCACATACTCTAAGCAGCTCCCCAATCTGTCCAGAGGTCTGTGGTGGTGGGGGAATCCACCTCACAGCTCGAGGTATAGATCCTCCGAGGTGAGCATGGAGCTCCAGAGCTCTGTCTTCCTAACATTCCCCGCGCATGGATGCTGCCCCCCCCAGATGCCTTCAGTCTTGCCAAATGAATCTTCCTGTCACCTTGTCCTTCACTCCAAATATCCCCCATCACTTCTCTGGACTTTTACTGTGTTCTTTCCAAGAAAAGCATTTGTAGTTAGTACCTGCGACATTCCATCCTGTCCTTGAGAGCAGTGCTTGTGGGGGCTGCTTCTAGTCTGCCACATTCTCTACCTCCTGAGTTACACTCTCAGCATGAATGTATAGGGAATTTCAGTTATTCCACATCTCATTGCCAACTCTTTGGTATTTTCTGGTTTGCTTATGTTAGCCATTATTTTAAGTGTGCTTTAGTTAACATAATGCTGGCTTTTAATTTGTATTTTCTTAGTAACAAATAAAGTTTAGCACTTAAAATTTTATTGGTTATTTGTATATCTTCTTTAAAAAAAAAAACAACTCTATTGAAATACAATCCACCCATTTAAAGTGTATATTAGCATATTCATAGATCCATCACCATAGTCATCTTCTCACAAAGAAACCTCACATCCCTTAGTTGTCATTCTTTACTCCTCCCTCTCCCTGCCTGTCCTAAACAGCCAATAAATACTTTCTGTCTCTCCAGATTTTTCATTCTGAACTTTCATATGAATGTGGTCCTGTGTAGACTTTTTCACCTATGTTTTCAAGATTCACTGGAGTTGTAACCTCAGTGTTTCTTTTTTATGGTCAGATAATATTCAATTATATGAATATGTCACAGTTTTTTATCCATTGGTCTGTTAATGAACATTTGGGTTGCTTC